GTTTCTTCGAATTCCTACTATTTATTTTTTACTTATGATAAGATCTGTTATATCTTCTTTTGTGCTATTTTCCTTTTTCTATCCCTTTTCTACTCGTCTTCGTTTATTCCGCTATCTTTTGTATGACTTTGCACTTTGTTGCTAATTATACTGTAGATATTTTACAAACGACAATACATACTGTTCGATGTCGGAAGCATATAACGGCAAATCTTGTGCAGGTGCCTGAGACATTTAAACTATTTAAAGAGACAACCACGCGCGGTGTCGTAAGTAAAATGAACTTCTTGATCAGACGTACAGTTTACGGTAATTTATTTCCATAGCATCTCAAGTTGAGCACAACATAGAATTGTTCTGGAGTGCCGTCGTATAGTGGACGCACTTTCACACGTCATTATTAGTGGTGCCCAGATCGGCATACATATGCAGATACGAATATTTAAATAAGATATACCATTCTCAGATCTCTTAATAGGATTAAAAATAAAATTAATTTCTTCAACATACTGCATATTAGAGATATCTCGTCATCAATGTATTTCTTCTGAATATTTTAACAAATTTATTTTTTAGTATCTACATATAAAATCAATTTAATTAATTACAAATGCACAATCAGTACCTCTATTTTCAAAATAAGATTGACAAAAAGATTTATATATGTATTTTATGACTGACTTTAATATAAAAAATGGTTTAGATGCACTTGCTCTGTTTGGAAAGGGAACGAGCCTTGTTGCATAAAAAGATATTTGTTGATATACTACGGAGAATTGGAAAGAGATGAAAAATAAGTTAAACCTCAGTTAAGAGTTAATCGTGAGTTGTGGAACTGCGCCTACATCAAGAGCAAATATATGTATATGTATATCAACGCTAGTTTATTTTATTTCAAGGGTAACGAGACAAGTTTTAGAATTAATGCAATGAAATTAATATACGTGTTTTTCGGCATAGATTCCACATTAGTATCAAATTAGGTGTAACAAAAAGAAATGATTTGTTTACTTTCTCTCTTAATTAATCAATTATTTTTACATCATTGTATATTATTCGATAATATCAATGGATTAATGTTATGAAATAGACAGTAAAGCTTAATATAATATCCATATAATTCGTGTCAAAATTTAAAAGACTATTGTCTATAATTTTATGTATATACATATACAAACAAATCATGTATGTATATGTATATGAAAAATCATATACGAGTACACACATAAATATACATTTTAAAACAAACAAATATATCCAGCGCCATATTAGCATTAGAGACTAATCTAGAGCTTAGGGGCGGCATTTTTTTTTAAAGTTCTGAAGATAACTAATTATTTTTTTGTCAGACGTAAACTTGCAATAAAGATAAGGTTCCTCAATCTTTATAAATGACCTTTTTTGTTCTTTATGCCAATATGGTTATTGGGCAGTTGAATGAGGACGGCAAAAACCTTAATTCGGCCCTGAATATTTCGAAATATATATATCACAAAAATAATATCTTATGAATGGGGATATAAAAAAAAATTGAGAAGTTTTTATCTCAAATTTTATCTCAAATATATTTTATCTAACTATTACATTTTAAATATAAATCACTCATATACGTAATATAACATAGGATTTACGTGTATGACTTTTATCGCAATATTAGTCGATAATATTTTAAGAATTTTACATGTAAGTAGAATCGTTTGTTTGATATTTCTATATCGATTCAATTTTACGTTTAAACTTACCTGCCGATTGCTCTGACTATTACGAAAGCAACAATAATCAGTGTGTCTAATATAAGAGCTGTACTACATCTTAATTGCAATTGATACACATGAATTAATTATGTGTTATGTATAGACTTAGTAATATATCTTAAATTTTATAATTGCGTAATTTATTACTTATAATATTATAAAATTATTAGTGTTCTAATTGTACAATCAGTAATATACAATTATATTTAATCTTGACACCCAAAAATATTTCAAAAGTATATCGCTAGGTAAACAGCATTTATTAGAAAATTGACGTTATTCATGTTATTCGTAGTCTGAATATTATTATACGTGCATTATAAAATATCGAAAATTTTAAGCCGAGTCTTATTGTGACTATTTTAAGTTACGAAAATATACCGAGATAAAGAATGTGGAAAGACCAGTTGAAAGAAGCTAAGAGAACATAAAAGATATGACAATAACAGACTCACCTCAAGACTTGATTCCCAAATCCAGTAGAACCACCTTTCTCCGCGCACTAATCGCAGTTCTTATTCTTCAAAAAAATTAAAAGACTTTTTTACATTAGTCGGTTACTTTATTCGAGAAAATTTACGTCGATCGGTATGTTCATTATGCAAAACGCTATTTTCACTCAGAGAACAGAACAACCCTCGACCGACAGCTGTCCGGAAGTGGCCGCTTCGACGAGCAGACTGATTCTTAACGCGCCTTCCGTACTCGAAGAAACATGGCTCGAGGGACAAGCCTCCTTTCCTCGTGCTGCATTAAGAAACAACCGTTAACGCGGGATACGCGCGTCTTCGAAGCGGCGGTATATAACGTTGTACGGCATACGAGAGTCGACCAACGATTGATGACCCGACGCTGCCGTATGTGGCACCCTTCTCTGACCAGAAGAGAAGAAAACGAAGACGATCTTGCGACAAATTGTGCGTGTCGACGTCGCGTAACGTCTTATCTCGGGACACAGTAAACGGCTCTCGCCGAGACTGGCAAGTGAAAGTCTCACTAAAATTATTTTCTTATAGCATATTAAGTAAACGATCCTTAATATCAATATACGACCGATGGCTGTATTCGAGTATCCCGTCATTTACGAAATATTCCTCAATTTATAAACTATCTCGATGCTTCCTTGAAGAATAGATAAATATTACTTATTCTAAAATATTTAATTTATTTAGATTTAGACATTAAGAAATTTATTACAAGATTTGTTATTATATGAAATTACGTAATTATTATCTAAATTTGATTCAATGAAAAAAAAAAACAATTGCGCGGTTTCTAAAATTATTTATTTTAGACATTTATACTGTTATTATTTCTATTAAAACTGATTGTAATCATATCTTCACACAGTTAGCACAATTTGGTTTCTATTATAAAAACAAAAGCAAAGTATTGGTCGTTTAATTGCTCAGTTTATTTGTATAGACAATTAAACGATACATATACATGTGTACGAATTACATGTGTATTCCTTAATTCTAATACATCGATATAATGTTTATATGTCGGGTGAATGATCATATTAGGCGATTACATACAGACGATATATTTTGGGTCGATATGGATTAACGCGAATGTCTGCGTTCAGCAAAGAAAGCAGCTTTGCAACTGTTGTAAAATTCTTTAATATGGTCTTGCCCTTACTTTCTTATTAGATCTAAATAAGCCAATCATATTCAAGAATTTTACAACAGTTGCAAAGCTGCTGTTTTTGCTGAACGCACCCAATGTTTCATTTTCCGTCTGACGAAACGAATGTGAACTATAGGAAGATGTCAACTATAGCACGACTAACCGATCTTTTATAATCGAAAGTAACTTTTCGCGGACCAATAGACGGTCGAGACACACGATAGCCATCAATTGGTATTATTACGGGTTTCAATTTCCGAGCGTCATTTAATTAATTATTAAGATACGATCGCGTTCATATCTTCATCTTAAAGTACACTATCCAAAGATAACCGAACATCCTGTATCGTGAATCGGGACACCAAGTATTGATTGTGTGATCACTTGGCACGTCATTCAGTCAACAACAATCGACGCTCGGCTTGAATGCTGATTATAATTCGATCAAAAATGATTAAAAAAAAAAGAGAGAAGGATAGGAGGGACATTTACATTGTACGCATGCGTCATTAAAATAAAAATGAGAACTATCAGGAAAGATCAGGACAATTGGTTCTGACTCTTGAGTCTAGAATGCGGAATTCAACCGTAGTGTTCGGATAATCGAGACTCTACTATGAAAGTTCGCTTAAGGGGTTATATACGTTTAAAATTTTCAAAAAATCGATTTATCAAAAATGATATTTTCTAAAAGTAGATATTTAGAAGAATATTTCCTGAAAGTTTTAAATCGATCGGACAAATATTTCCAGAGATACAGGCTGTTGTGTCCGAGAGCGTTTCGACCGTTGCATGATCTCACTGTACGCACACTCGATAGTGCGGCCTAATGCGCTTTTTTGGGACAAAAATATAAATTCATACATAAATAGCAAAATAAATGTATTTACAATGTAAAAAAAATTCACTTTATTATAAATCTAAATTTTTCATATCGACAATGAAACTACTAGGGTTTGAATATTCGTGGTTTGTGCTCACTTCCATGTCGCACGCGAAGAATTGCTAAGTAGAAGTTGTGGGTTGACGATCGTCATAAAATTAGTTGCAAAATCACACGCAACTAATTTCATGACGATCGCCAATACACAACTCCTACTTACAATTAGTAATTCGCGCGCGACACGGAAGTGAGCACAAATTACGAACGTTCGAAGAAAAAAGAAAGAACGCAAACAAAGATATATTAAAACTTTGGAAGCTGCTATTGCTGCAGAAGAGCTGTTATAATATGGGTCTGGAATAGATGACACTATGTAAGTAAAAAACAACATTTTTTTAAAATACATTTTCTCTGGTTTTAAACTTTAAACGCGTTTTTCTCAAAACTACGTTTTTAAAGTCGGTGAGCAAGATATCTCAAAAACTAATAAATCGATTTCTCTAAAATTTTTTTTACTTACTTTGGACATGAATATCTCGTAATTAATCGAAGGGTTTATATTTTAATTATGCGTAGTTTTTTTTATTAACGAAGAAAGAACAATTTTTAAGGTAAAAATCGAAAACTTTTTTTTAATGAGCCGCCATTTTGTTTCTAATCAATATTTTCAAAAACCGAACGATTAATTACTAGTAATAACTTTATTGGATGTACAAACTAAATATATGTATATAGTTTCATTTTGTTTAAAAAAATCCTTAAAAAATCGCTTTTTCCAGCCCTCTAAATGTATATAACCCCTTAATACTTTAAAATAATGCTCCTGCTGTTTGAGTTTCCTTGCTGTCTCGTGAGATCGAAAATGGCACGGATTCAGAGATCGGTGTCATACCAAGCCGCAACCTGGTTATTATCTTGCGGCGGTGCAGGAAGTTCTTCCAAGTGATCGAAACTCAAGTCACCATCATGCGCCACGTCCATAGTGTCCATTGCGCCATATGTCGAGCCACCACCTATCTCTAACCCTTGCATCGAGTCTACTGGTATCTGGTCATAACCTGTAGCAAAAAAAATTATTTTTTATAAACAAAATTCACTTACTCTTTGTTCAGCAATTACATCAATAAAAATTACACATTGCACGCAAAGTGCAGAAACTTCATTAATCAGTGAAGCACAACTAGTAGTCCGGTAAATGAACGTTTTCGCCTCAGAATTCTTTGAATAGTCATCGATTGCCTTGAAATTTTTACAGGTGTTAGAGAATAGCACAAGGAACAAAAGTGACCCAGTGCCGACGTCCGCTTTTTCTTTAGGGGTAGTTCCCCCCCCTCTTTTTGGGGGTTGAATTTTTTTTGGCCCAAATAACCTCGGGAATCGATAAAGAGATTAATTTTAAGTAAAAAATGTAGTATGAACTTTTCTTTGTAAACCAATACTTTTCGAGTTAATAGCGATTGAAAGTTAAGAATTTTCATTGAAAAAAAGCACTTTTTGAAACGGGTTTTGCGAAATAACTCAAAAAGTAAGCGTTTAATCGGAAAAACCATGAGAATGGAAATTGTAGCTTATTAAAAAACGAACAAAACTCTGTTTTTATAAGCACTGTATGTGAAATACAGACCTACGTATGAATAATTTACGTTCAGTATGAAATCGCAAAGTACTGAAATTTAAATGTTTAACATGAAATTGCGGGAAAACAAAGAAAATTTCGTGGAAAACTTATTGAATCTTTTTCAATCTACTTGAAAAGAGCTTCAAAATGAGCACTTATACAAGTTGATTGTACAAAAAATGACGGAGATATGATAGAAATAAGAGTAGTATCAATATTTTTCAGCATAAAAATTCTCAACAATACCCCCACCATTACCACCAAAATCAAAATTGGACGTAATCATGCTACAGTTCCCTTCACTTGAGTACTATCATTGTGCTCCAGCAGTTTTGAACGTTTTAAATGCCTGGTTTAGAAAAAAAGTTTGATTGAATAAAGAGATATTTTTTTTAAATTCAACAAAAATTTCTTTTTTTTTTAGATTCCTCAAAAACTGAAGTAGATACGAAAAAATAACAAGTATAACAAAAGTTTGGATTTTTAATGTACTATAAGTTCCTTTTTTTTGTTTTCTGTAGCATTAAAACTCGCTGAGTTGTGAACATTTGAAGTTTGCATGTTACAGTGAAAGTCCTCTTTCCGTATCCCTTTAAACGACAGAATTTTAAAAATAAGGATTTTAAATAAGTTTTAATTCATGAGAGCTTATAGCTACGAAAATTCCCAACAAAATCGTTTTTTGATGGACTCTGTAGCTCAAAAATTGACCGAGTTATCGTAAGAAAACCAAAAAATTTTTCTGAGCAACTTTCGAAGCATGTTACGAACTCCACGTAGGTATGCATTATATGTATATACAAACACATTCTACCATATACAGGTATATTTGAAATTATACCTGCGTATACGTACACGCATACCACGCGCGCGCGCGCGCCCACACACGCGCCCACACACGCGCCCACACACGCGCCCACACACACACACGCACACGCACACACGCACGCACGCACGCACGCACGCACGCACGCACGCACGCACGCACGCACGCACGCACGCACGCACACACACACACACACACACACACACACACACACACAGTGGCATTATTAAAAATATTAATTCTACAGACTGGGGTTGGAAAAATGATAATGGTTCGTTGCAACCGATTAAAATGCAAAAAATGCCTGCACCGCAAGAAGATGATTTTCTGCAATTGTACAAAAGGCTGCGGTTCCACATGTACTTGCCGAAAACTCGAATTGTTTTGCAACTCTGCATGTGGATCATGTTCCGGAGACAATTGTCTAAATAGTTCTCCAATTATAGATCAGGAAGAAGAAGAAGATAACATCGATAGTGATGCGGATATTTAATTTAAATTTTTGCATTTAATTATAATAAATATTGTTAAACGAATAAAATTTGTTGTTAAGTTTCTTTGGACCTTTATTTACATTCGATATCAAATTCTAATAAAAAATTGGTAGGTAATTTTAATGATAATCGGTTTAAAATGGTTGACAATTTACTATGTTCTAATTATTATGGGGTTAACAGACTTTAATGTAATACAAAAGCACACAATATAACTTTTAACCTCTTTCGAATTACAGTACATTTCTACATGCTACTATAAAGGGTAGTTTTTTGGGGGTTGTAATGTTACAGCATTGTGATTTATGATTAATAGTGCATCAGAAAACGTATATTCAAAATACTAAAAAAATATATAATTTATCTAATTTTTTTGTAAGGGTTGCTAGCAAGAGGTTGTTTTTATAAAGGGTATTTGTCAAATTGGGGTAGCAATGTTCATAATTAACACAAAATTGTATTTTGAACCGCGCAATAATTAATAAAAGCACTTTTAAAACTTTTCAAGTTATTTTTTTTTCAAATTTCGTCTTAAGCAGCAATCCAGGGGTTGATTTTTAAGGATTGAAATGCTGTAATACATCTCAAATCATACCTACATTATAAAAATACTTTACTTGACATATTTCAATGGTGTTTCAAACTATTAAATGCTTCAATCCTCAGTTTTTTCATTTTTTATAAATAAGGGTAGTTTTCACCCCCAAAAAACAAAAAGCGGACATTGGCATAGGGTCACTTTTGAAGTAGAGGGTATCACGAGCTTAACCCTAAATTTTCATGTAAATCGATGACTATTCAAAAAATTCTAAGGTTTTTCAATATTTTACGTTCATTTACTGAACTATAGCAATGTACTTTGATAGTCTTTTAGCTTTACGAGATACAGAGTTTGCTATATATTTTCAAAGTGATCACATATTTTCTACCAATTATCGTTTAATCATTTTATACATTTTATATGATTATTTTATAATTATAATATAATACTGACATTATATTTAGTAATTATTATATTTACTTAATTAATTTATGATATTTTTTATTAGAAATTTTTGTCTAATTGCATCATACAAATTATTTAATGACAAAAGAACTACTTTCTGATAATATTAAATAACCACAAACAAATTGGGAAGAGAACAAATATGTATAAATTAAAAAAATTCTTGAATTTTTTTTAATTACTAAAATTTGAGCGATACAATAGCCACGTAATACAGAAGCTCGATATTTCATATACCCCCGCGCGTGTGTATAAAACAAATACAAAAAAGTATTAAATATTAACAATATTTTTAATTAATTTTCAAGAAATTGACAAATATTTACAATACTTCCTTTTGGAGAATAAACTGCAGGAATTCCCTTTTATTTAGCTTACAAACATCATCCTTCTATATAACTCCATTATCATAAAGCACGTATTATAGCAGAAATAAATAATAAGAGTGTAAATATTTGCATACAAAATAATGTAAGCACATGCGTAAGTAAGATAACTTAAAAACAGTGTTCTACATATATATATTAAACAATGCATCCATAATTATAAATGAGGTGATAAGATAATTGTAAATTATATATTATCAAGAAGCATAAAATTTAATATAATTTAACTATTAATGTCTTTTTTAATTTTAATTTATATCGATAATTAAGATATTTTTCGTTATTATGCCATTACTTATAGAACTGACAAGTGTACATAATTAAGAAAATATATTCGTAGAAAGGAGAATGTTAAGTGGTAGCTGTGTATTTTTCTTAATTTTAATAAAAAAAATTTACGCACACAATGAGTTCTCATATTCAGTTATAAAAATTAAATTATTAGATTCTTTTGTAGAATACATTTAATAGTAATAAGCATGCTCGACAAATCTTACAATTTCTATATTGTACATTCTATATTGTAACATTGAACATGCAGTTAAAATTGACAACAAATTAGACATCAAACAGTTAAATAACGAAAACCAGAAAAATACATGAAGACCAAAATGTCACCTATGTTACTGCGAGAAACTGTTGATAGCCTGTATTTTAATTTAAGTCCATGGGTTAAGCTGCTGTTAAAATAACATACGATTAAATGCATTATTTCATATTAGAAGTAATGTCAACAAAAATGATAAATTTATTAAATTTTCTCGTATTTACAATGCAAGACAGAATTAGTTCGTGAGATTGCATTATCGCGTATACAGTCATTCCGTCATTATATGTCAAATGCAATTTGTCATGACGATTATATACAAAAACACATTTTATATAGAATAAGATTTGTTATTTATGACCATTTTTAGCTCCGTCTACCTTCGATTGGATAATAAGTCGATTGATCAGAAGCAGCATTCGATGAATAAAATGGCTAACATATGAATTACCTTGCGGTTGATAACCCCGACCGCCATGGCTGCTGTGTACGCTAGGAGGTCCTTGGCCATACATACCATCATAGCCTTGTTCAGGGCCAAGCATGTCCTGAAGATTAGGTAGCTGAGGTCAACACAAAGCATAACTTCTAAGGGAGGGCGTGTCATAACACCTCAAAATACGGCAAAATTCGCGCTATAATTGGTAAGTTTTACAATAATAAAAAAACGACCAACAGGGGCTTGCACGAATAATAACATGAATAATAAAGTAATAAAAAATAAAAAGACAATTTTGGAAATAAATATTTGCGAAAGGAACAAAACGCATTCCCATGCATATTGTAATCTTATTACAAATTGTCAATTCGACTAAGGCTCGATTGCTCTAACGTTACTTCGATTTTAAAAGAAACTTAACACTCTTTGTCACTTTTAAAATCAAAAGAGAGACAGAAACAGAGAGTTTTAAATCTCGCTTTAAGTCGAAGTAACGTTAAAGCAATTGAGCCTTAAATTCGATCTACAATTGCGTAAACGTAGTTGTAAGAATTGATCAATCACAGTTAAATATTCTCCTCGTATTCAACTGTGATTAGTCAATTCTTACCATTACAATCACTTACAACTACGTTTACACAATTGTAGATCGGGCTTTAGTCAAATTGACACCCCGTGCAACCGGGCCAAAGTATAAGATGATAACTGTATTTCGTCATTCAGCGCTTCATTAGGTACGATTGTATCGATTTCTTTATTATATCTCACGTTTGAATAAATATTGATAAAAATGTTATGGCAATATAACTAAATCTCAGGTATAATCATAGAGATAGTAGTACTAGAGTGCGCATTGGAGGAGTGAGGATAGCCACATATAGAAAAGGATACACTCATTAGGGCCTTCACGTTCTCTCTCGTTTCACACATGCGTATAGCCGTATACTCTGAGAGAAGAGATCGAAAGAGAGAACGAGGAATTGAAAGTTTCATACAGTTGATAACAGCTAAAGTACAACGCATGCCATGGCTCTATACATTTTAGACTTATAGTATGCATCAATATTTTTAGTATTTCTACAACTTTACACGATCAGTAATATTGTCAGTATTTGTTAATATTGACAGTATTATTGATCGTATAGGGTCATCTTTAAAAAGGTACGTATTCTTTGTTAAATATAAGATTTTTTTAATCGAAATGTTAATTATCTTTGATTATTATATATACAACTGTTTTATTTTAAAAAATGTTGTATAGCATTTGCTGTAAATTATTCTCTGTGTTTCAAGAAGCTTTTCAACTTATATATAATGTTGGTAATTTATAAGAAACAGTACACATAGGAAATTTTGTATAAGAAATTTCAAATAAATAAAAAATGTAAGAGCCTAACATTTTTGACCAAGGCTGTATATATATACAATAATATAATATATTTTTAATCATATTAGTAATAAGGCTCGTTAAGTTTTTAAACTAATAATAAAGAGAGACAAGGGTTTACGAGCAAACAAATTCGTTAAAATATTTAATTTCTAATATATTGCGAAGAATATCACGTAATTTTTGGCCCGGCTTCCACTGCTGGACTCATCAGTAAGGCATTGTAGTTGATAATATTTAATTTAATTAATATACACTATTGAACAGTTATAAATTATATACGATAAAAAAAATTATTTCAAATCTGTAAGTTTGCTATTTAACTATTATCATCATGTTCTCAATTCCTTATTTCCCTCTTTCAGTCCCCTCTCTCGGAGTACACTGCTATATGTATTTGCAAAACAAGAGAGAATGTGAAGGCCCTAATGAGTGCGTCCTTTTCTATATATGGACTACTCCCACTTCTCAAATTTCTAACAATGTGCAGTCTAAATATTACTATGCCAATGGGTATATAATAAACTATATGTTATAAAGCTTAAGCATGTAAAGTCCGATTTATAATTAAGTAAACGCAGTTGTAGTTGTAAGAATTGACCAATTACAATTAAATACAAGGAGAATATCCAATTGTGATTGGAAGATTCTTACAACTACGATCACTTGCAACTACATTTACGTAATTGTAGATCAGGCTTATATATGTATAAAACTTAAAATTTATTTTACAAGTTATTGTAAATATATGTATATTAAAAAGTGCATTTTTTTTGCGTGAAAAAAGCAAACAATTCGAAACTGCTCGCTTATAACTTGTTATAAGCAATGAAAAATTTTATGAAATTAGTTTTTACATTGTGCACCCGCCATCTCCGCAAATATAATGATAAAAGTCTAAAGCGTAAAAACTAAACGCTATAGTACGCAAATGAGTACTGCAAATGACTTAGTAGTGCAAATTGGAATAATAGATAAATGATGTTGTACATGGCTTGTAAACAGCTATGTTTGGAATTAATCTTACACGGAGAAAATCTTGTAATGTATAAATACCTGATTTTTTTTTAATAATTAAAGGGAAGTGTCTCTATAACCAAATAAGAGCTATTATCATAACGTGGCATAATTTACCGAACACAATGTAACCACCTAGAAGTGTTTAACATACTTCTATACTACAATGTAATCATTTATATAACATTACAAACCTGACTCCTGATATGTACTTGGAAAGTCAATTATAAAAAGACAAAGCTAATACATAAAACTAAAACTTGCTATGTTACATAGTGTTTGCAAGTAAATCTATTTCGCCACGACACGAGATAAAATAACGTGCATTGTTGTGTCCGTTCTTTACGATACCTGAAGATCCGGAGCCATGCTGAAGTCGGCATTGTTCCACGGATTTGTCTCCTCACGGAATAAGGAATTCGTCAGCTCTATGGAAAGTCGTTTTCTGTACTCTTGAGGCTTGTCGTCGCTCATGCGGAATAGCACTGCCGCTGCGTAAGTAGCCACACCCTCATTCCTGGAATGGAGCAGTTCTGTCAGCGGGGCGGTAGCACCCTCTTGTTCTATTATTTCGGCGCTTTCTTTGTCATCTGCCAATTCACAAAGTACACCGGCTGCCACACGTTGAATATTTTCAATCTCGTTGAATAATAACTGCAAATAAAAAAGAATCGTGTTATTAAATCATGTAATTAAAAAAATATTATTGTTAATTAAAAACAATTATAGGCTACAGAATAAGAAATTATATCCAATTATAATAAGGAGGGGGGAGAGGGATAAATGCAGAGAATAATTTGTATTCCATTATCATTTAAGGTTAAGATGCAATTTAAGAAATTCAGAGAAAACTTCATAAGCATTTCTAAAAAAATAGTGATACGTACTTGTACGAAAATCGGAATTACGTTTTGCGATCGAATTATCGCTCTATTATGGGACTCTCTTGCGAGGATATGAAGAGCACCTACTGAACCTTCTACTATTTCTTCCATTCGTACTCCATCCGCATATGCACCCGATGTCTGCTGACTTCCAGTACTAGCAACAGATGACCGTTGCTGCAAATAAAAAATAGCATCGTTCTATTATGTAAAAACTATAATATCAAACATATTTATGTTAATGTTTTGTTTATCTTTTTTAGATAGCATATAAATAATTAAATACTCTCTTAGTAGAGAATTATACAACTAAAATATTAGCTGTTATTACGCAATATATATTATGTAATTTTATTCTGAGTAATGACTTATACTCACTCGTTGAGTATCCTGGAATGCACGCATCAAGAGTCTCACAAGATGATGTATTGCGCCGTGATCGCGTAACGGGCTGTGATTAGAAGAACAAAGAGCCAAGTTGCGGATTAACCCAATAACCGCTTTCACCAATGGCCAGCGCGACGGCGGGTGAAGTAATTTAACTATAACTTGAATACCATAATTTAACCGAACGGAATTTTGCGCCATTTCCGCTTCGCTATGACGCGAGGTCAAATGACGTAAGGCGCACACCGCTGGTTCGGTTATTTCCTCCCGATCACCGGCATTGATGATAGTACGAACCAGAGCGTCGACACCACCAAAATTACATACTGCAACCTAAACAGAATTTGTACGATTGAAGTTTAATGTAGACCTTACACAATCAATAATACTGATCAATAACATAGTATACATCAATATTTTTACAATCTTACATGATCAATATTATTTCAGCTCGATTTTATATACATCACAAACCTTATACGGATAATAATATTCAGTACCAACAAATAATGATATGAATTTCTTTATCCTCAAACATCAATATCTCTAGTAGAGAATATTGCTGTGATAGAGAATATTAATGTTCGAGAGAATGAAAAAATTCAGATCACAGTTAAGGGGATCCTAAAGTCGTCTGTATTACCGACTAAACTAAATAATATTTAATTATAATATTGTATTATAAATAATATTTGTATCGTGTAAATACTTTTTTGTCATTCACAGATTTGAAAACCCTTTTACAGGATTAAAGTATACGCATTAATACATATCTGTGAGGTAGAACATATGCTGAAAACGATAAAAAATTTTAAAAAATTGAATCCTTTTTTTCCATTTTTTAATCCAATATGGCGCTATTACGTTGTAACAATTGTTTCATATAAAAGCTGCGCAATCTCTATACTTAAGGTATTATAGTAATCCACAGTCACATAGTTTGCATGAACAAACAGCATTAAGTGCTTAGAATTAGACTTAGACACTTTATCACGATGAATTTACGATACGAAAATTGACAAGTAATGTGACTGCGTGCATCACTGTCTGTATGAGATATTAGTGTGGTAGTATATAAAAATATATGTCGATGTGTTATAAAACAGCGATATCTAGCGATTTTGTTAGAGTTCGAGCTTTGCTTTAGGTTCCCCTTAACATTCTACATTAATCTACCAATATTAATACATAATCAATAATATTGTCGGTACTTACAGTATTATTGACCGTGTAAGATTCCTAAAGTTATAGAGTTTTCGAATGCAGTTTGAATCCAATCCAGGTCGGTTAACCCATGTTTGTATTATGACCTCGTCCAATTAGAAATCAAAGTAGAACATGTGATGTCATTGATCCGACCCGGGTCAGGTTCAAACTCACTCCATTTGAAAACGCTATTAGATATACGTAATAAAACATTGCAAAAAATGTTATTCAACGTACTTTGTTACGCTGATTATTACAGGTCAAGTTTGATAAAATGCCAGCAGCGCACGTAACCACGTTCACATCTGCTGATCCGAGCACAAGCACGAGACTTTGCAATAAATTATCGAGTCCGTCAACTTTTGTGCCAGCGTCTGATAGATTACGCAATGTCCATAAACAATTCTGTACTAATCTTTGACTTGGATTTGCAAGATGCATGGCGAGTGCCTGCATACCACCAGCTTCCACGATCGCGGGTTTATTACTAGGACAAACAGACAATACTGCAAACAAAATTAATTATCAGTTAATAAATGCAAAATTTCATAATAATTTCACAAGATTATCACGATAAATTAGGGTCAAATTACCTTTCAAGACTCTCGAAGTGGTCCACAACAATTTCTCATACTCGTAAGAACGCATGATACGCACGAGTTCTATCGGGCCTTGTGAAGCAAGAATAATCAGCTTGCTCTCCTGATTTCCATATGCCAGTATCTGTAGACAATCTGTAACAATGGCTAAAAATTTGACATTATTTCGTTGAAGTAATGCGACCATTTTTTGTAGACCTCCAGCAAGGCGTACGGCCATCTTAGAACCGTCTTGGTGAAGCAATAAATTGTGTAATGTCGTTATGGCGTAAAAGAGTACGGACTCTACTGGAGAACTCAGTAGTTTTACAAGCGCAGGAATTCCGCCACTCTTGAAAATGGCTAGCAATCCTTGTCGGTGATGCGATAAATTGTGCAAGGTGCCAACTGCAGCCTTCGTCGATTCTAAATCCTCGCTGTTAGAGATAGCTCGCACTAAGGCGGCTACCATTTGCGAGCTGTTCATAATAGCATGACGAGAGGCTTCCTTTTTAGACAGTTGGTGCACCATCATAGCTGCTTGAGAAACAACCACCTGATCTTCATCATTCAACAACTTGATCAATTCCGGAATAGCGCGCGTAGCGAGATCGGCATCATCCTGATAATTTATCAAATTAACGACGGCATGCTTTAGCATTTGACTCGGCTCAGCCAATCTCTGTACAGCGGTGGGCTGTGCGGGATCAAATTGCGTGGAGGGTATCTCTACACCTTCCTCCAGTGTTTCAGGAAACATAGCAGCACGCACACGCTGTGATCGAGTATGACTCAGTTGCTGATTCATCTCTAAAAGATATCATACGATTCTCAATAGTAATATACAATATTCAGCTTTGCAATGATAACATTGGATTATTACGAAGGTAATAATAGTCTCTCGTACCATCAACTTGATCTTGTGTAAAACCCTGTGCAAACCCTTGGTCTAGATCAAACATTAGCTGATCCCCTTCCATCTCTTCATCTTCCTTGCCGGATAGAGATGGTGCCTGAGTGACAGCACCAGAATGGATACCTGAGTCATTCATGTAGGAATTCTGCTGCCACATCAGTGTCTGTTCCTTGGCAGAGCCCATGGGCAAGTCGCCCGGGCCCTGATAGTTTCCTTGAGACACTGTAATTCAAAGAAACGTAAGTCCCACACGCATCCTCATTGCGACGAATTGTATCGCATAAGCGTGACTTACTCGGTCTAGATTGATTCGTCGACATTGGATAACTCATGATTCCGGTAAGAGTTTATCTCCGTATCTACAAGAAACAAAAGCAAGATTCTGTTAACATCTACAGACGCTGGCCTATTGCAATGTAGGCCCTCGATACGCGACTACTCTCTGCTCGCTCTATTCCACAAATTCAATCAATTATGTAAAAAGAAAAAAAAAACGAAATATGAAGCGACTTTACTGTCGTCTCTTACGAGAATACTACGAGAATACTGGAATACTCCGAGACCGAGTGGTTTACCGGTTCGGTGAGAGACAATTGCGTCGTTCCAGATCCCACCGAAGGTTTTCGAGAAAGGAATGATAAACGAGAGAAATCGCTTTAAAACGACATACGTTCGTTTTAATGTTCACTTGCGTGACAAATTGACGATACAACGATACGTCGGGTCAGTGCATCCTACTGCGACAGGGAAGGATGCTTCCGCACGGAATGTGGGCGCGATCGAAGGGTCCTCTCCCCTCCCTTCCCGCTTACTCTCTCTCTATTCTCCCCTCCTCTCTCTCTCTCTCTCTCTCTCTCTATCTCGCTCTCACATCGCACAGCTTCAGGCTCGTGGGTGTTCGCACGGCCGGCCGCGATCGAATATGCGTCGTGCCGTTGCACCCGTCGGGTGTAGCCGCGGGATGCGGGAATTACAACGGAGTCCCCCGCGGAATTTGGGGTGGGACGGAGGAGCGCTGGCCGCGTGACATAACGAGAGAACTACGGGAATGCGATGTGTCATCATTTTCTGACAATCGACGAGGTCGCGTAGGAGAGGGGAGGAGGAGAGCGTGGGGGGGTGGCAAAGGGAAAGGCAATTGGCATGTGTGTACGTACGTGTACGCACGGTACATACGTGGCGTTGCCAGCCGACGAAAAGAGCGACAGGCGACGAGGAGAAGAAACGGAGTGGATAAAAATTGCCGCGAGTACGCGCAGCATGGAGATTAAATTCTCGTTTCGTCGAACGTAGAGAGAATTCACGTTGTGGTGCATGAGACACCGACGCGCATGTTCGTGTCGGGCGATCGACTCAGGCGAACTCCCAGCTCGCGAGCGGAGAATTCTCTTTGACGTACCGCTTGAGGCTGAAACAAGAGACGTCGAGATTTACGGATCAAAGCAACGGAAGGATTCCCCAAAGAATTAAATGGCGAAGGCTTTGGAAGGCTTTGCGCAATCTATCGCTCCAGATTAATATTCTCCGAGTGTCGTTAAAAGGCCGTTATTTTATTTGTGCGGTTTTTGTTGAGCGACAAATTTTTCAAGCCCGTTATAAATCGATCGTATAGGATAAGAGACAGATCCGAGGATCTCTCTGTCCTGCACACATTTGTCGTACGATAAAAACGCACAAACGAAACAGTATCCAAAGGCTTGAAAACATGCGTGAATTAGCACACGCATGTCGCAGCAGCCTCTTTCTCTCTCAGTTTTCGGAAAAGTATTCAACGTGCCGTTGAATTCTGAGACGCCCTGTATACATATAGGAGGTACGCACGTTGGAGCGTCCCGGCCGGAAGTCACGGCGAATTTATTACTCCGGCGTGGACCAACAGGCACACTTTGACACACCCAATGTAAACACACTCGCGACAGTCGCGACGCGGCGACGCTCCTCTCCTCCGCTGTCAGGAACGGAGTCAGAGGCGAGGATCTCGGCCGCAATGGCGCACCGCGCGGGCCGACACTTACCGTGTTGCGTGCGCGACTCCGCGTCTCCCGATTAATTTGCGAATCTCGTTCAGCACGCGACACCGATCTCGGACGGCTCGCAATTCTCGCGACTGGCGAGCGACAGCCTCCTCCACGTCGTCGACGTCGTCGTCGTCGTCGTTTGTTCCCGACACTCCTCACGAAGTCTCAACAACGATTTCACTATCCAAAGATGGCGGAAAGCGACGCGCATCGGACAACACGAACGCCACCTGCCGCCTACGCCGATCTTGAATTGTTGCAGGGATAGAACGAATGGAGCGAGAGATGGATTTCTCTCTCTCTCTCTCTCTCTCTCTCTCTCTCTCTCTCTCTCTTTTTCTCCTTCCCTCTTATCTTCGCAGGCTGGGGCTGCTTGACCCGCTCTTTGTGGCGTGCCGCTTCGGTTTAGTTGTGGAGCAAAGACGGTGTCATTCTCGGAAAGAGTTACGATGATTACGAAGAAAAAAGTTGGTCAAATTTTCATCACGATTATTAAAAAAAAAAAATAGCATCAAAGAGATAAAATAAACGATGACGAATTTGAAGTTTTCTTTGTGACATTATATAAAAAACATCGCAAATTTTTTTTGTTTTATTACCATTCGAAAGTATTACATATCAACTTTAAGCATTTTGTTTAATTTCTGTATTTTTACTTATTTTGGGAATAGCAATTACATAGAAAAAGTATAATATGTAAAATTGACAAAACAAAATATAGCAAAAGAAGATTTACTTTAAATTATTGAAGGTATTATAATCTTCCTGCTACTATTATATTTCATTACTTTCTTTTTTATTTTTAATTTTTTATTTATGATCCGATTATGTTATTTAATCTATATTATAAAGCATTCATTTTCTACAATCTACATAATGTAGTATATTGAGATAGAACAAAATTCCTTTAAAAAAGCTATATTTTTAAATTATTATATTTATCTTAGAAATGAAAAATTATATCGAAATGAAAAATGCGTTTTTAATTTAAATATTGATATTTTCAAGTTATATCAAGTGATTAATGAAATTTAGAAGAAAAATTTACTAACAATGCAATGTCATAAAAAAATTATGTTGTAAATTATTTCAAAATCATCCTTTTTAGCCTCTTTAATACCATTTTTTTTAAATTGTGACGTGATAGCCTTTGACCAACAAATTTGTGGTCAGCAGGTATAAATATATCAAAAATGCTGAACATTTATGTTGCAAAAAAACTTTGTTAGACAGTGTAATTAAGGATGATAAATGAAGATTGATATATTTATACTTGACATTCTAATTTAAAAAATATAGAATTGATAAGATATATTTCAATTGTTTTTACTGATCTCAATATCTCAAATTTATTAGCGATAATATATTTTAACAGGGGGAGGGGGGAGAATGGAAAGTTACTTTTTAAAAGTAACAAGTTACAGTTACTCGTTACAGAATAAAAAAGTAACGAGTTATCGCGCGCGTTATTAGTTATTGCTTTTTAAAAGTTACAGTTACCGTTAGGTAACTTTTCGTTACTTTTCCGTTACTTTTTAAAAATCAGTTTGAAAATGTACTTTTGCAGTATTTTTTGTTTAAACGTTAATAAGAGCAATATATAAATAGCATGTATAATACTGACACTATGTATAATTTTATTTTTTAGTTTTTTTTAAACACAATTTCGTAATTCTGTAAAACCTGTAAAATAGGCAGCAAACTGAGATATACCTACATACATATGTCCGATGTATCACATAGAAGATAGAAATGCAAAATAATTCCTGAAATAATATTATATTTACTGTATATATTTGTCAGCTGTCAAAAGTCACTTCAGGATCGCTACAACAGTTGACAGCTAAAATATTTCAGGAATTTTTATATACTTTGTAGAAAATTATATAGGATTATATAGGATTATAGAAGATTATATAGAATTATATAGGACTATTTGGATCACAATGCAAGTTAGAAGTTAAAAGGAAAGAAATACACATAATCTAGCTCTTTATTATAATACACCTATATTTTTAATTAATCTATACTTTTAACTATAAATCAAATATTTTGATAGAAAAAAATTCATAACGCTATAATTAAAATACATAACAGAAATTTTGCAAAAAGAGGTGTTTTCCAATTGCTCAACATAAATGTATACAGATTTGTACAGAGTAAAGCTTTGTGCACAGCTCAATTAGAACAAAATGTCTGTACCCAACAAACATGCGTACGATGTTTCGATTAAGTTAAACTAAATGTAGCTTGTATTAAATAAACCTGTATTAAATAAAAGCACTCAATGTCCTACAACCACATTTATAGCTGCCATAATTAATAATATATAATTGTTATATAAGGGAATAACATGTCCACTCGTATGTAAAGTAATGATAAAAGTAACTGTGAATTTCGTTACTGTTATCCAAAAAATGTAACTACGTTACCCCCCGTTACCAAAAAAAGAAAGTAACACAGTTACCAGTAAAGTTATCAAAAAAGTAACTTATTGTAACTGTAACTTCGTTACAAGTAACGAGTTACTTCCATTCCCTGTATTTTAATATGTTAAATATATTTTTAAAAAATTGTGTAATAATGATATTAAAATACACACAGAAGAAAATTAAGTGAGAAGGGACAATAGAAGTCAGGAAATCATAGAAAGTTGAGATTTTCTATATGTATAGTAAAGGAACAGGATGTTTACTATAGTCGAAATACAATAGAATAGTTTTGAGACTGTGTTTCGACGAGTCAATGAAAAGACGCTGCTGGTGTCTACATTGTATGTGCCCAGTGCCATTCAATCTCTTGACTCATCCTTCGATATTGTTACAGTACACATATATTTTCCATCTTTAGTTAAAGTAAAATATTCCTAAAATTCTTCTTTACGCACTTCCGAAATTTGTCGAAATGATTGTAGTGCTTTTACTTGGGCTCGAACACATTGGAACTGGATACTGATCGGAATCAGGGTTGATCAAAATGGTGTTTTTAAAACAAAAACAAAACATTCAGTTTTTTAAAAATATATCTCGATCTAATAACTTAAACAGGCGTCTAAGGTAGGTTTCCACTACAATACCTTACTGATGAGTCCAGTAGTGGAAGCTGGGACGAAACGCCATAATTACGTGATATTCTTCGCAAAATATTAGATTATAATTTAAAGAATTTAACGATATTATTGGCTCATTGTCCTCTTTCTCTATATTATTTGTTTTTAAAAACATATTGAGCCTTATCTCAATGTACATTTTTAATTCACGCCGGCGAAATGAAGCGTTTAAAAATCATAATTTGATTAAGGGGACGTTATTTCAGATTATTAGAATTGCGTTTCAAGACCGACGATAGTTCGGCGCGCAATTTGGGGGGAATTTTCAGATAGAGTTGCGTTTCAAGACCGACGATTGTTCAGCGCGCAAGTTGGGGGGGGAGAGTAATACATATATTACTTTGAATAAATATATTGCGAAGAATATTACTACGTCGACTCGCCATCAGAGGTCTATAGATATTCGCAAAAATTCTCGCAAGTGCTTGGATACGCGTATATCTGTATATATAGATTCTCGATCTAATAACTTAAACAGGCGTCTAAGGTAGGTTTCCACTACAATATCTTACTGATGAGTCCAGTAGTGGAAGCTGGGACGAAACGCCATAATTACGTGATATTCTTCGCAATATATTAGATTATAATTTAAAGAATTTAACGATATTATTGGCTCATTGCCCTCTTCCTCTATATTATTTGTTTTTAAAAACATATTGAGCCTTATCTCAATGTACATTTTTAAAATATATGTTAGTAGAGAGATAGGGAGGATTCTAATTCACCATGTGTTAGTGCGTACTGCGTATAGGTATATCTGGTATGTATGTGTGTGTGAGGGGTCCGGGGAAGAATGGAGGGGGTAGTACGTTACAGGGGTCTGCGGGGGAGGGAGTCCTTCTCTGTCCCATCCATTGCGTTCTCTCAATTCCACCCGTTACAGTCTTCATTCGCGCTCTCTCTTTCTAACTCATTGTCCTCTCTCTCCCCTGCCCATTGCAGTTCTGTACTTACCCTATTATTCTCCCTTCCTCTCGTTGCATATCTCTCTGTTCCACCCATTGTGATTCTATACTTGCCCTATTGTCCTCTCTCTTCCTCTCGTTCCGCTCACGTTTTCTTCTCGCACGCGATTTAATTAAATATAATGTACATTATATTATATGTGGCGTCGAGTGGTTCACCGCTCGGTGCGATTGACTCGCGATCTGTAGATCCGAGTTTTCAATCCCACGTGCGCCCAAACGCAATTTTTCGCGTTTAATGAGCCAAAAAATGTCTCCACCTGGTGATCAAAAGATCTATGATCATCAGCGCCGTTCGGATTCGGCATTAAACTGTAGGTTCTATACATCAGTGTACATATTAGTTATAAATATTTGTCTCTAATATCTGACTGAGGTAGGATTCTGTGGATCAATCATCCACAAATCCGAAAAACAATTTGATTCGAGAAATGAATATAGGCTTCGAACAAAAGAGGAAGAGGCCTATAGACGTCCTATGCTCCACACAAGGAGATATAAGGAGTCATTATTATTATTATTACATTGTATTATAATAAGACTCAATATGTTTAAACCAAATAATATAGAGAAACAGGGCAATGAGCCAATAAATTACGTTAAAAATCTTATTAAATTAATTTAATATATTACGTGATGTTCTTCACAATATATTAAATTAATTTAATAAGATTTTTAACGTAATTTGGCTCATTGCCCTGTTTCTCCATATTATTTGTTTTAAACATATTGAGTCTTATTACAATGTACATTTTAATTCACGCGGGCGAAATGATGCGTTTAAAATCACAATTTTATTAAGGGAACGTTATTTCAGATTATTAGAGTTGCGTTTCAAGACCGACGATTGTTCGGCGCGCAAGTTTGGGGGGGGGGGCCCGGGTTACATATATTACTTTGGATAAACATTGCGAAGAATGTTACTATGTCGACCCTCCATCAGATATTCGCAAATTCTCGCAAGTGCTTTGATACGCGTATCTCTTTACCTATATAGAATCTCGATTGAGAATAACTTTTGCAGTATAAGGTAAGCTTCCACTACAATGCCTTACTGATGAGTCCAGTAG